AGTCGCGGGCGGGGTCTTTGAGCGGCTCCAGCGGCTCCGTGTGAGCGCACAGGTCCTGCACTTTCTTGTTGAGGTCGTTGCGCTCCGTCTGCAGTGCCCGGCACAGCTTCTCCAGGCGCTGGATCTTCACCTGCAGCCCCTCCAGCTCCTTGTCCCGGAGCGTTTTCTGAGGAGGAGAGGGACAGGAAACCCAGAGGGGTGTGAGGGGATAATTACAGTGCAGGGAGAGGGTTTTACAGGGAGAGAGAGAGGGGAAACCCAGAGGGGTGTGGGGGATACTGACAGGGCAGGGGGAGGGAGAGGGAAAAAGGGAGAGGGAAAACCCAGAGGGATGTGGGGGATAATTACAGCAGAGGGGGAGGGTTTTAAAGGGAGAGAGGGAGATGGAAACCCAGAGGGATGTGAGGGGATAATTACAGTGCAGGGAGAGGGTTTTAAAGGGAGAGAGAGAGGGAGGGAGGGAGACAGGGAGAGGTGAAACCCCAGAGGGATGTGGGGGGACAGTGACAGGACAGGTTTTCAAGGGAGAAAGGGAAAAAGGGAGAGGGGAAACCCAGAGGGATGTGAGGGATACTGACAGCGCAGGGAGAGGGTTTTAAAGGCAGGAAGGGAAAAAGGGAGAGGGGAAACCCAGAGGGATTTGGGGGGATAATTACAGCACAGGGGGAGGGTTTTACAGGGAGAGAGGGAGAGGGGAAACCCAGAGGGGTGTGGGGGGACAGTGACAGGGCAGGGGGAAGGTTTTAAAGGGAGAGAGGGAGAGGAAGAGAGAGGGAGAGAGGGAGAGAGGGAGAGAAGGAGAGGTGAAACCCGAGAGAGATGTGGGGGGATAATGACAGAACGGGGAGAGGATTTTAAAGGCAGAGAGGAAGAGGGGGAGAGAGGAAGGGAGGAAGAGATGGAGAGGTGAAACCCAGAGGAATGTGGGGGATACTGACAGGGCAGGGGGAGGGTTTTAAAGGCAGAGAGGGCAGGGTTGGATGCGATTTTTTGAGAGGAAATTCCTCCCTGTGAGAGTGGAGAGTTATCCAGAGACCCTGGAGATGTCCAGTGCAGGTTTTGAGCACCCACAGGAGCTGAAGGTATCCCTGCCTGCCCCAATGACCCTGGAAGTGTCCAGTGCAGGTTTGGAGCACCCACAGGAGCACGAGGTGTCCCTGCTCACGGCACTGATGAGCTTTAAGGTCCCTTCCCACCCAAACCATTCCAGGATTGATTCCAGTGAAGCTCAAGGGGAGAATCCGCGTGACCAAACAAATGTAAAGCACCAAAGCTGCTTTGTCCCTTTGTCCCCAGAGAGGCTGGAGCTCCCTGTCCCCAGCCCAGCCCTCCCCCTGTCCCCTCCCCAGCCCTCCCTCACCTCCTCTGCCATCTCCAGCAGCGCTTTGTTGCTGCTCTCCCAGCGGGAGCGGTACATGGTGGTCTCCTTCTCCAGCTTCTTGATTTTCTTGGTCATCTGCACAAGMACAGGAAGGGCACAAATCGAGTCACAAAATGCCCAGAGTTGGGAGGGACTCACAAAAATCATCAAAGGGCAGCTCCTGGCCCTGCTCAGGACACCCTGAGCATTGCAGTGACACCCCACATGGCCTC